CCTCATCAGTGATGGGAGCTACTCCTGTCTTGCTTTCGGCAGCATTTACTCGTGTCCGCTCACTGATATTGTCCACAGTTTATCACGGTTGACAGCTGGGCAGAAGCACTGAATGCCTCCTACCGACCTTCCCAAAGTAACTGGGTGATACTTTTCCCAGCTGGTCCTGTTGGCGAGGAATGTCACCCGCGTCTCCCCGGCTTCCGGGGTGCTTCCATTGCTTGCCGATGCGGTGGTGGCCATGGCTCACATGGCCCCAAAGTTCCCAGGTCCTCCGCAGTCTGGGTAGCACATCGGCAGCCGAGACGAGAAAGCGCTATCAGTCCAAACCTTAAAAACTCACTTTCTCCAAAGACCCTGATGGTCACCCCAGAACTCGTGATCCAGCGCTGACATCTGTCGTGTGCAGCCTGCATCGTGAGTGCTAAGGCGGTCCCTGGCACACACCTCGTCTTCAGCAGCAGTGAGGGAAGCCGAAGGCTTGGACAGGAGTTTCGAATTCAGAAGCCAGTGAACAAAGCAAATTGCAGGAGCCAGGGCCTTCTTGACGGCTGGCTGCTCAGAGAAGCCAGGGCCGCTTATTCCAGAGCTACTGGCCCCATGGCCATAGTTACCAGGAGTGATTCTCCCACCTGGCTCTCAAGGTGTGCGGTGTGACTTGGTGAGCGCCAGGCAATAAGAGCCCACATTAGAGTCGTGGGACGTGGGGCAGGGCAGCCTTCCAGCAGAGTCGGCCCCCGTGCCATGAATGCCAAGGGTACCCCTGCCAGGCGGCTCCACCAGGCAGGCACACGCTGTCGGCACAGCCCCTAAGGAGCAGCGCCTGGGGTCGGCCTGACCCGCTACTCCCGGAGCTCACCGTGGGCGGCGTGGGACCTGCCTCAGCTCCCTCCCAGCAGGGACGCCTGCAGTGACAGCGCCCACAGCTTGGCTCTGTGCAGATGTCTGACAGCTGTGAGTCACCGCGGCCCTGTGCTAAAGCATCGTGCTTCCCAGGGCCGTCGTGTGAGAAACAGTGAGGGTGTGTGGACCGGCAGGCAAGCGTGGAAGTAAGCAGGTGCTAGAGGCCGTGATTACTGGAAACCAGAGAAGAACATGCTTGTTCACATCGGACCGTCCTGGTGCCCCTCGCTTCCTGGTGATCTGCAGCCCAGCCCCATACCAGCGGCTATGCAAGCGGGAGCTTGGCCTGGGACTGATCTTTCAGACACGGTTAGAACCTGCTGTCCGCCGGGCACAGTGTGATGCAGAGAGCAACAAGGTGAAAGGCTTTCCGCATGGCCTGGATGGGTTCAGTCTCCTCATGCTGCGGCAAGCAGAAACACAGAAGCAACACCCAGGGTTTGGAGGCAGATTTATTTATGCCCATGGGCACTGATCAGGGTCACTCCCCACAAGTTAGGCCCTGGTCTCTGGTGGTCTAGTGCTGATATGGATAAGCAAGCAGGAAGCACAGAAGCAGTATGGCTTGTCCACTGGGGATTAGTTCTTACACTCTGCATCATAGCCACCAGCTATGCATCAGTGACCAGCCGTTTCTAAGAAACAAAAGTAACAGGAACTATAACCGGAACTGTTCCCCGGGCAACTAACAAACTGAGGTGTACTGGCTGGGTGGGGGGCATCTTCTGCTACATTTGAGGAACAACCTGGCAGATGGAAACAGTACAGTGCCACAAGCCCTGTAATAAAGACTGGTCTAAAGTGCTGGGGACACAGAGGAGAGAGGAATTAATTCTGCCTGAAGGTGGGACCGACCAGAGATATTTGAACTGGGCTTTGCAGGACGTATAGCAGCTTGCTGCCTGAACCAGCATCTGGGAGATGGGGAGCAGGCATGGTAAGAGCCACACCCCTAAAAAAGGAAGCTAGTGTTCGACCGTGGCCCACAGGGGCCATTCGTGCTTTGCCATGGGCCAGGACCCTGCTGGGGCTGGGATGGGAGGCCACAGCTGTTCCCCAGAGCGAGGCCAGCTCACCGTGAGAGAAGGGGTGGTGTCTAAAGAGTGACCTCAGACTGAGGTGTCCAAGGAGTTGAGGTGGCATCCAGGCAGCCTGTCTACGGACACAGTGCCACGTTTGGGAAACCACAGATGTTTTCCATCACTGGAAGAAAGATGTACTGCGGAGCCCATCTGAGACAGGGTTTCGGAGGTTGGCCAGTCCACGGAGCCTGCAAAGGAGCCCACAGGAGCAGAGGAGAGCTCCTTTCTGTGTTGCCCTGGTGAATTCCCCAGGCAGAGGCTGGAGCAGAGCCTTTATTAATTAGTCAGTGCTTCCTCTGCAGCAGGACCCAAGCTCCCCAGGCAGCCCCAACACTCAGCCGGGGCTGAGAAACAAGGATATAAAGCACTCCAGCGGGGCCAAGCATGCGGGCCTGGAAGCCCCTTCCACCAAGCCAGACAGAGTTCCTGGACCCAGGGGAGGGGCTGACTCAAATTTCCAAGGGTCCTTTTCAAAGCAGAAGCTGGATTTCAAGCAGAGCAGGCTAAAAACTCTGGGGAAGGATTACTTGACCTGGGAGAGAAATGGGTGAGAGGAGGTGCCAGTCTGGACCCAAGAGCACCTCAGGTTAAGTACACAGAAAACAGTAAACCATCGCTGAAGGAGGAAGGAGGATGAATGGAAACGCATCTCACGCTCCCGGAAAGCGTCGTTAAGAGGTCTCACTGCTCAAAGCAATCTGTCTGCAGAGTACAATCCGTACTGGAATTCTAATGGAGGTGTTTCGGTTTTGTTTTTCTACAAATATAGGAAAATCTACCCTAAAATTCCTATGGAATTTCAAGGGACCCTGAGTAGCACCCCCCCAAAAAAATCTTGGAAAATAGGGGAAAAAAGAATAAAGTTGAAGGCCTCGCTCTTCCTGATCTCAAACTTATTAGAAAGCTACAAATAATTTTAAAAATAGGCTGTACTGGCATAAAAAAAAACAAAAACAAAAACAAAAACAACAACAACAAAAAACAACTGGGGGCTGGGGATTTAGCTCAGCAGCACAGCGCCTACCTGGCAAGCACGAGGTCGTGAGTTCGATTCCCGGTACTGGGGGGAAAAAAAAAAAAAACCAACTGGCAGAACTGAACAGAGAGCCCAGAAATAAACCATCACATTTACGGTCAAATGACTTTGACAAGGGTACAAGACCACCCAGCGGGTAGAGGCGGTCTCTGTAACAAAAGGTGCTGGAACGCTATATATCTACATGTGAAGGAATGAAGCTGCACCCTGACCTCACACCGTATACAAGAACCAACTCAAAATTCATCGGGCCAAGTGTATTAAAGAAACACAGGGAAAAGCTTGTGGCATTGGCTTTGGCAACGATGTCTGGGTTGCAAGACCATCTCCGCAAGCAACAAAAGGAAAAACGATGAATTTATGCAATCAAAGACTTCTCTGCAGCAGAAGACACAATCAGTGGAGTGAAAAGGTAACCCAGTGTTTGCCTCTCACCTGTCTGACAAGGGGTTAAGATCCAGCCTGTACGGAAGAATCCCTACAACTCAGCAAATAACCTGATTTAAAATGGGCAAAGGATTTGAACAGACATTTTTCCGAAGTAAGTGCCCGAAAAAAATGCTTCGCATCATTATTCATCAGGAAAATGCAAATGAATGTCATCATGAGGCACCGCCTCACACTCACCAAGGTGGCCGCGGGAACAACCCACAGAGGCAGCAAGTGTGGAGGAGGTGGGGGGCCCTGGACCCTTGTGGCCTGTGGGTGGCAGGGGACATGGCGGAGCTGCTGTGGAAGAGGTATAGTTCCTCAGGAAAATTTAAACTAGAATAACCCGATGTCCAGCAACTCCACTTCCGGGTACACACCCCAAGTAATTGGAGTAGACCTTCCGGTTGGCTAGGGCAGCTGTCCCGCAATGCGTGGTCCGGCGGCCTGCAGATCTATGGGCTACAAGCCTAAGCTCGGGGGTCGGCAGGGAGGGTTTCCCCTGAGCCTTCTCCTTGGCTCGCAGATGGTGCCGCCCCCATGTCCTCACACGGCTGCCCCGTGCCCCTCTGTGTCCTGAGCGCTCCTCAGCAAGTTAGAGTAGGACTCACCCCTGTGACCTCATCAAAGACCCAGTCTCAATATGCATTCACTGCGGAGGCCCTGGCAAGCATGAGATTCTGAGTTCCACACAGCCCAGTCCACAGAGAAGAAGCAGAGGGTGCTGGCCGGGCTGGGACTCGGTGCTGCTGGGGGCAGAGTGTCAGCTGGGGAAGACGGAGAGGTCGGGCAGTGGCCGTGGTGGCTGAGGCGGCCACGGAACTGTACACGCGACGGTGTTTGGGGCCGGGGTGAGGCGCAGAGGCAGAGCACTGGCCTCGTGTGCGCGGAGGCGGGCAGTGCCAGGTGGTGAGCTGTTGTGTGCATTACCCTACAATGAAAATGTTGAAATAAGTAAAAAAGAAAGGTGAGGAGGGGCTCGCCACGGCGGGAGCAGCGGCCCGGGGGCCAGGATGGCGCCTCGCTGTAGACAGGACGAGTGTGCGATGCGCTGTCCCTCCCAGCCCGCCTCGGCAGCTGTCCCATCCGCCTGGACCACTGTGCCACTCAGGTCTCCTGACTGCTCTGATGCCGACCTCCCAGGAGACACGGCGCCTTCTTGGGCCTCTCCTGAGATAAAGTTCTGTGCGTCAGCCACTGCCTGGGTTTTGAATTCAGGAGTTCAGGAGTTTGAATTCTCATCCCCAGCCCGGACCTCCACGCCCCAGCTACCGCCTCGTCCCCTTCCTGTCCTTTCCGTCCCAGCCTCTCTCCCTCCCCTCCCTCGGGCAGCAGGCGGTGGTGGCCACGGTGCTCTGGGGGGACGCGGGGAGGTGGCCCGCACCTTCGAAGGGACGGCTGACGTTAGTCACTGCTCCTGTGCCGTGCGCCGTCCGCAGCCCTCCTGCTCCACCGGCCCTTAGAGGGGGGTGGGGAGGAACGGGTGAACCCCCTCGGGGTCCCCGTGCCCTGGGGCCCCCGTCGCTCACCAGAGCCTCTCTCTCCTCCAGGACCTGAGTTCCTTTGCCATGCCGCTCCTCGATGGAGACCTGGACAGCGAGAAGCACCCCTCCCGTAAGGTAGGTCAGGTCCTTTCCCGAAGCTGCGCGGGCACACCGGGGGCGGCCGAGGCAGGCAGAGCCCGGGACACCACCCCCGTGTTCCCGCTGTGCCCAGCAGTGCCAGCTCCCCACTTTCTAGCTGCTCTCCTCCCCGCTGTTTCTCTTCCTGCGGCTGGGGAGGGCAGGGGCTTCGGCGTGCAGGGCAGGGGCGGCCACAGCGGCTGGGGGTCAAGCAGCCTGCCCGCTTTCTCCTGCAACCAGGAAGTGGAGGTGGGGCAGAGGGCCGGGCAGGAAGTCCTCCCTGGGCATCCTGCTACCCACGGAGCCTGCAGCAGGTATCCGCAGGGAGGGCTGGCAACCCCTTTGTGCTGTGGGAGCACACGGGCTGGGTGGGGAGGACTCCCATTGCTGGAAAAGACCTGTGAATTACATACAATGCACCCCGTTCCAAAGGAGCAGCCCTGGAGGGGGACCACGGTCAGATCCCGCTGACACCCAGCTCCTTGTGCGGATGTCACCATGGGGCTGCTGCCGGGCTCCCGAGGCAGAGAGGAGGGAGGGAGGGGTGTGCCCAAGCCATTGCTGTCCCCAAGGAAGGGGACGGCGGGGATCCAGAGGAGTGAGGCAGAGGCGCTGTGGCCATGTCCACCCTCAGGAACCTTCTGGGTTTCTGACATAGCCCACCAGAGGACCTCCAGTCACTTCTGCCTGGACCAGGATGGATGGGAGTGGAGTTGCAGCTCTGAGCCCAAGGTCAAAGGCAGACAGGATCCTAGTTCCTACTTTTGCTTAAATTAACTTAAATCCAACAGCACATCTCCAGCCCAGCAGGTTGAGGAGAAACGTTAATTGCCACATTCCTGAGGCTCCTTCTGGGCTTGTGCAATGGTCCTGGGGTCCTGCCCCCCACACATGCACGTTTAGATGGGAAAACGACTTGAGAATGACAGAAACTCTTTCCCTTGGCCATGGGCTGCGTCATAGCTGAGCCAGGCCTGCGCTGGACTGGACACACGGATCCTAAACCTCCAGCAGAGGGCACAGGCCAGTCAGGGAAGAGCTCCCCGACCCTTCCGGCTTCTGTCTGCGTCTCTGTGCCTGCGCTCAAGATCCTTGTACACAGCCGAGTAGCGCTCCACATAAAGAAGGGCAAACGCCAGTCGTTTCCAGGAAAGTGGGTGCGTAATGTTGAGCCCACAATGTGACTGAAATAAGTCAGACACAGGAGTTTCAGTGTCCCCTGGCTTCTCGCCTCTATGACAAATGCAGGGTATAAATAAAGTGCAAAATAGACCAGGTGTGGTGGCGCACGCCTGTAATCCTGGTACTCAGGAGGCTGAGGCAGGAGAATTGCTGTGAGTTCGAGGCCAGCCTGTGCTACATGGTGAGTTCAAGGTCAGCCTGAACTGCATAGCGAGACCCTGTCTCAAAAAACCAATAAATAAATACACTGCAAAATGAAAGACAGATAGTAAGAAACAGGGAGCTAGATCTTTTGCAAATGGGGAGGGGATCGAGAGGTGGAGGGAAACGGAGGAAGGGGAGGGAAGGAGATGACAAAAGCGTGAAGCTGTGCTATGCACGGGGACCAAGCCCCCGCGAGGAATGTAACTATTCGATACGGCAAACATGGTGTGAAAAAAGCAAACCGTTTTAAAAAGATCCCCATCCTTTAGGGAGCCGAGCCTCTGTGGCGGTGCAGCTGAACTCCCTCGCTGGCTGCCTCGCTGAGCCCCTGAGCCACCCCTCTGGCCGTGCTGTCTGAGCCCCCAGCTGCTCCTGGGCACCCAGGCTCGGCGTGCAGTGACTGCGCTGCAGCTGCCGTAGGCGTCCGACTGCGCAGTGCCGCAGGCAGCTTGGGGCCACGGCACGGAGGAAGGTCCCTTCCGCAGCTGGCGCTTCAGCGGCCTTCAGCACAGCGCCGCCCCTGCTCAGCTGCCCGGCCAGGGACGCGTGGACAGTCCCGGCGCCGGCCCAGCGAGGGGCCGCGGGTGTTCTTCCCTCTGTCCGGGGGCCATCAGCACTCTCCTGCGTGTCGTTCCTGGCCGTGAGCCCCGTGTGGCCTTGGATGAGGCGCTGCGTTCTCAGAACCTGTCCACCTCGGCCAGCCGGGACTGGTGACTGTGCTCACCTTTTGCAGCAGCAACCAGACGAAATCACGGTGGAATCACCACGGGAGGTGCCGGCCCTGGTCCGAGGGGCAGGCGTGGGTGCGCAGGCGTGACGCCGGCACACCCAGGTGCCATGCGGAAGTGCACCCATAGCTCGCCCTCCTGACTCGGGAGCCGCCCTGGGACGGCGCTGGGGCCCCGCACACCAGGCGTCCCGCCCCTCTCTGGCCCCTCTTAGCTTTTCTGTTTATCCTGAGTCCCACAGGCAGGCGGCGAGCGGCTGAGCTGAGAACGCTGCAGTCAGGATCTCGGGGAGGGGGTCCGGGTTCTCGGTGTCCTGAGCAAAGCCCTGAGCCAGACACCCAGAAGGAGCAGCAGGAGTGAGATTTATTAAAAAGGAGTCATGAGAGTACGCCCAAGAAGTGAAGTCCTTGCCACAGCAGAAAGAGAGGGGCAGGGGCTGGGTCTCCTGAGGTCCTGGGACGGTGGGGAGATGGATAGCTGGGGACGGATCGGAGTTGTGGCCCGCCCGGCAGGACAGGACCGGGAGGTGTTCACGCTGCGAGGTTTTCAGAGGAAGCGTCATGCCGCCCAAAGCCCACTGTGGGGGTCAAACCGCAGTGCAGCTGGGGTTGGGTGCAGGCCAGGCTCCTGTACTCGAAGATCCATGGATGCCTGGGGGGTTTGGGGGGCACGGTGACCTTCATCTACTGGTTAACGGACGGGCAAACCTTTATCTTCTGGCATTTTGAGATACTTGTCTTTGTCTGCCTGGTTTCTTGGTTCTTTTTTTGTTTTGTTTTTGCCTTTTTGAGACAAGGTCTCACTATGCAGTTCAGGCTGACCTTGAGCTCACTTTATAGCCCAGGCTGGTGTCAAACTCTCAACGATCCTCCTGCCTCAGCCTCCCCGGTGCTGGGATTACAGGGGTGCGCCACCATGCCCGGCTGGTTTCCTGATTCTTGCCCCACAGCTTTTCTCTTATTTACTTCTCCTTTTCTGTCTCTTGCCGCACTCAGGTTAAATGATCAGAAAAAGAAAAGCTGGAACTGTGTACTAATGCCCCAGCTTAGCATTGTGGGTCCCGGTACCGCATTACTCCTCTGTCTCAGAGCAGCCGGGAGGGCTGGTGCTGAGCCAGCCCTGCACCTCGCGCGGCCACGCTGGTTCTTTAGGGTCGGGAAGGAAACCACAAGGGAGGTTGGTGGTCCCTGAAGGGGTCACCCTGCCTAGTCCTGGCGGAACCCAGCAAGCCCGGGGCTTGGGGCGCCCTCTAGCGGTGGGAGAGGCCAGGTAAGGGCGTCGCGCGAGGCCTGGACCTCGCAAGCCGGGACCTCCGGCCACCTTTGCCGCATGGTTCTGGGCCCTGCAGTGCGGCGTTCCGAGTTTCCCTCTGGCCCTGTAGTGCCATGTGGGTCATTACTTCCCTTTCCCTCTGCACAACTGGGGAGTCCCTGACGCCCTGTCGTCTCCGGGACTGCAAGTTCACCGGGTAACAGGGCGGACGCGGATGAACACACACTGCCCGACAACTGCAAGTCACACCCGGAGCCCGCGTTCGTCCGCGAGCTCTCGGTTGGCACTGTAACAGGCCGAGGGCGCACTGTCCTCTCCACAGAGGAGGGAACTGAGGCAGCAAGCCGAAGGAACACATCCAGATCCCACAACAAGGGCCGGGCTGGCCCCGGACGACCTCCTGAGCCCACCCTGCAGGGATGTTCAGCAGTCCTCACAGGCTGCCAGCTGTGTGCCCCAGCTTAGCATTGTGGGTCTGGTAATCTTTAATCCCATAACTAAAGTGTGAAACCATCGATGGAGCGAGTCTGTAAGGTCTGGGGCCTGCCGGCTTTCCTCCTGCACCCGGCAGCTTGGGGCTGGGGCTGGGGCTCAGGGGTGCAGCGCTTGCCTAGCATGCAGGAAGCCCTGGGTTCCATCCCTAGCCAGGAGAAAGAAAAATATCCTCTGCTAGTAGCAGGGCCCTCAGGATAGAGCCCCAGGCCCACTCCGATCTGGATCCGAGGGCTTTGTGCTTCCTCCTGGGGGCTGGCCTGCAGTCAGACGTGAAGGTCAAAAGAGCTTCAGAGTCCCTGGAGGGGGCCGCGTCAGTCCGTGCCTGCCTCCCGCGCTTCCTCCCTTCCTCTCCCGCACTTCCTGGAAGCCCTTCCTGAGAGCCGCGCAGGTTGGTCCGGGGCTCTGGGGGCAGACTGTCCTCGGGCAGATGCCAACCTTGACCCCCGGTGCCCCCTCTGTACAAGGGCTCAGGGCCGTTTCTCAGCAGCTCAATGACAGACTACGATGTCGTGATGCCGCGTCCAGGCCAGGCAGAAGTCGGAGTCCCGGGAGCGCCGCGACCTCGTCCTTTTGTTTTTCTGCAGGTGGACAGCCCCCTCGGCTCGGGCAGCCCCTCCAGAGGGCTGTTCTCCAGAGGCCCCCCGGCCCGGCCGTCCAGCCCCGTGTCTGCTCCCGTGCGACCCAAGACCAGCCCGGGCTCCCCCAAAACCGTGTTCCCATTCTCCTACCAGGAGTCCCCGCCCCGCTCGCCACGCCGTATGAGCTTCAGTGGGATCTTCCGGTCCTCGTCCAAAGAGTCTTCACCCAACTCCAACCCGTCTACCTCACCCGGGGGCATCAGGTTCTTCTCCCGCGCCAGAAAAAGTAAGACACTGATGCTATGGTTTCAGGTGGGTGCCAGGCTTTTGGGGACCTTCGCTAGAGCCACTTGGCCAGGTGGGGCCGCAGGCACCTGCTGGGCGGCTGTCGGGCGGCTGGCGGTGACTTGGTTCTCATTGTGTGCGTGTATCTGCCACCCCCGAGCAAGTCCCTCTCCAGAGCAGCAGTTCCCACCTGTCCCTCTGGGTCCCGCCTGTGTGACGAGCCCTATGGGTTCACTGGAAATATCCAGGGCTCACAGTCTGACTTTCAGGACACATATTTGCTTCCTGCCATGTCTTCACACCAGTGCAGGCCTGGCTTCCTACAACCCCCACCCCCATCCTTGTGGCTTGGAATTTGGGGGGTTTGGTTTGCTTTCGGCAGGTCTTGACTTCTCTTTTGGGGTCTCCGGGCAGCAGGGACTGGATGGTGGGACAGATCTGCTGCGGAAACGGAAGGAGGTGTGTACCCTTGAGAGACAGGCCCTTGGCTTGTTGAGCGTTTGTGATGTGGAGATAAAAGCGTTCTCCCCTGGGCACCGTTGATCATGCTGTGAAAGGCACAGGCCAGCTGACGTGGGTGGAGCTCGTTTCTTCCTTTCCTGTGTCTCCTCTTCCTCGTTCTTTCTGCTGACTTGCAGCATTTACATTAGGGAAGACCGCGGAGGCAAAATGAACTTGCCCTTGAGATCGGAGGTCTGGGTGACCTCTCCCTCCAGGACCTGCGTGTGGGGTGGCCTGGGATCTTCCAGGCTGGCTGCAGCAGGGAGGACTTCCATTCTTTCCAAGCTATAAGGAAGGGGAGGAGAGCGTTCCTCCTCTTCTCTTTACGTTATCTAGTCCCTCTCACACCATCTCCCCTGCACGACAGCACTCCTGCCTCCTCATGAGCCCAGCTGTAAAGACCAAAGGCCTGGGGCTGAGGGATGGATTGCTAGTGTGGCAGAGGGACCCCGGAGCGGATGTGACCAGGGACATTGATGGGAGGGCCATCTACAGGCCCGGTAGGGAGCAGAAAGCTGCAGCGCTGAAGCTGTGATGCTCTGGAGCATCCCCGAGTCCCTGGCCAGCATCCCAGGATGCTCGGATACAATTGTCCTTGGTTTCCATGGAGACGGTCCCAGGACCTGCTGCAGAGAGCAGAATCTGAGAGTGCTCCCGCCCCGTGAGTGAGCTAGTGTAGACTTGCAGGTAACCTCCACCCTCTTCTTGGTAAACCATCTCCAGTTTGCCCCAAGCAGCGCCTCAAACATGGTCTTCGTGGTGCGTTGTTTAGGGAATAACGACAAGGAAGAAAAGAGCCGTGCGTGCTCAGTACAGACACAGTGTAGAACCAGGGCCTGGACCTCTGGCTGGCCGAATCCACGGACCCCGCAGGCGCCGAGGGCCGGTTGTTGCGTCGCCAGGGGGCAGCAGATCAGGCCCGCGTGGGGGCAGGAGGGGCCGCTTCCTGCCGCGGGTGCCGTGCCCGTGTCAGCTCTGCAGAGCTGGGCTGGACGCCCTCCCCAGGTCTGCCGTCACAAAGCGTCTCAAGAAGAAGAAGGTGTAGCTGTGCCGAGGAGGTATAGCGGCCCAGTCCGGGCAGAAGTGCGCGGCACAGGCTCGGGCGGGGCCACACCCACTGACGGTGCGAGGGGCGGACTGGCAGTGCTTCTCTCTCTTCTTCTGAGGAGATTGTGTGGGACGAAGGGCCTGCCCTCCTCCAGTCCGTTAAATATATCCGAAATGGCCGTTTCCAGAAGCAGCCCTATCGCAAGGCTCTGGGGAGGGCGCACCCTTCAGGGAGTACCATCCACCTGGCAACAGCGCGTGTGGGCAAGGCAGATCCACAGTTAAGGGAGTGGAGGGTTGTGTTGGGGACCCTGGGGAGATGAGCAGGGTATGGGGTTTCCTTGGACCTGGCTGAGGGACTGGGCGGAGTCGGAGAGGGTCGGGCTCTCACCGAGGTGGCTCCCAAGTGTGACATGGGGCACTGTCGCCACGCAGGACTTGGCTTGATACCCTATTGAAAGCCGGCCATGGCCCCTTCTTCAGGGGGAGCTGCACTGCCCAGGAACACTCCCCAGGACCCCAGCAGCGGTCCATCATGCTCGGCTTCTTTAGAGAAACTCCCTGGGGTGATATTCAGACCAGAGCAAGCCTAGCCCCGCTGGCAGCTGTTCATTTTCTTGTCCTGGAAGCATGGAGCCCAGCTTTCAGCCTGACCAGCCCTGTCACTAACAAGTGCCAGGGCCCAGCTCTGCACGCAGGTGGGATGCGTGGTACCAGCACTCTGAGTCCTCCCCTGGGCGGGTCACCCTACACTCCTTCCATTTGGCTTTACATTTGTGGTTGGTGTGGTACTGGCTTGGAGGGTAGATGTGGTAGTTAAGCTTGATGGTATCAACTTCATCGGCTTGGGAGCTGCGCCGGGGATTGGTAGAGCACACTTCTGGGTGTGTCTGTGTGGGTCGTGGAGGTGTCCCTGGGGTCTTTATCTGGACGCTGACTCCTTTCTCCCTGGTACCGTCCCCTTCTCTGCTTCCTGGCTGGCATGAACTCAGCACCTTTGGTCCACCCTGCCTTTCCACCATGATGTTTCCCACCTGGACTCAGCCGACCATGGACCCAATCCCCTGAAACCATAAGCCACATTAAACCTGTCCTCTTTTAAGTTGGGGGTGTTCCATACTATGTTCCGACCATGGGAAAACTAAAGTTTGAAAATCTATTCTTGGATCAAAGTACCAGACAACATGCTGTTCCCTACTGTCTGAGAACCAATTTCACAAAACCAAGCATGAGTGATGCCATCGGCTGGGATGGAGGGTCTTTACACGTACCAGTGTCACGATACCTACTGTGTGGACCTCAGGGATGTCGTGAAGATACTGTTCCTCACCAAGGCTCCTGGGCGGGATTTCCTGTCTGGCCCTAATACCAGGAATAGCTGTTCTGCTCATCAGCTGGCCTGTTTTTAGTGGACACTAACCGCGTAACAGCCCAGTTTTCCTGTCTGTACTGCCTGCTAGAAGTCTTTGACCCAAATTTCTGCAAAAGGCTCTCAGGATCCGTCACGCTTCACCTCTGAATCTAATTATGCTCCCCACATTTCTTCTTGACCCCACTGCTTTTTGAACAAAAAGGACATGTATTGGAAGGATTCTGGGGGTATTTGTGGATTTAAAAAAAAGAGCTGAAAACTCAGGACTCAGGAAGGGAAGGCACCCATTGGCTCTTGGGCTCTAGCAGCAGGAATTTGTGGATTTTTCCACTCAACCCAGAAAGTTCTTGGTCTCTGTGCCTCTCTGCATGCTATTCTAAATTCCTCATTACAGGGTGTCTGACTAGCCCCGTGGGAGTCTCTGAACCATGCAGGGTGGGTGACTGGGGAAGGCGCAGGGTCTGGGACCAGATACAGAGTGACCAAGAGCCTGGCAAGCAGGGTGGAAGGTCCAAGGTGAGAGGGCAGCTGGCCGTAGGCGTCTCCTCTGCTGTCTGGTACATGCCCACACGCAATCTTCCTGTGTTCCCAAGGGTGCCCTCATCAGGCCTGCTCTGGTTACCCAAGACGCGGGTGTATGTGTGCACCACTTCCCCAGTGGGGGCCCTGGTGTCATGCCCAGCTGCTGCAGTCGGAGGCTGTGACTGCATTTGAGTCTGCTGAGTTCTCAATCTCCCGTTTCTCCTCAAGTTCTGTCTGCGTCTTGTCTTCCTAGCCTGCCTCTCAGGCTCTGGACACATAGAACCTAACGTTTAGCAGGTCCACCGTGGATGGTGACATGAAACAGCGACATCCTCACCTGTTATTAGGGGAAGCAAAAGGGAAGGTGGGAATTACAACGCTGTCATTTTGGAAGGGGGGCTGGAAAGGGGAAAGGAGGTAACCTGACCTTCAGATGCTCTGAGAGCAAGAAAGGGAATCCCGATGGGGACCACGGATCTACCTTCTCCATCTGGTCCGGTCTGAGCTGGCTCTCCAGCTGCCTTCTGCCTTTGCACATCTGTGTCCTGCTTGGAGCTGATGGGGGGAGGGCAGCCAGCTCCCCCATCTCTACTTCCTGGTCGACCTCAGCTTCTGCATCCCCCACTTTCCGGGGAGGCCCCTCCTGGTCTCCAGCTGCATGGGAACACAGCCACACCCGTCCCTGCTGGGAGGGGCCTTTCCACTAGGACTGTGGAATTGCCCAGTTGCCGCAGTGACTGTGGGGCCCGTGAGTCTGAAAGGTTTGTCTGAGCGACCTTGCGGTAGTACCTGGGGAATTGCAGAGTGGCCATGTGGCCACAGACGTTTCCGAAACAGTGACTGTGTCTTCCAAAGAGTTCCCAGCTTGGCTTAGGGTGATCTTGCCTAGACCTCATCTCTTTGGAGATGAGGAAAGGAAAGTACACATGAACATGGTCAGAAAATTAAGGATTTTCACAAAGCAAAACTACTCTTGCACAGTCAGTAGGCACCGCCTCAACAACGGTTTTGTTCCCCGTTGTTAAACTTTGCTCCCTGGTCGGTGAGGACGATTATAAATGCCACTGTGTGTCCTAAGTGTGCTGTGTGTGCTGCAACTCTTTCAGTCTTCAGAAACTCTATGAAGTGGGTCGTTGCAGCCTTAACCAAGGTAGAAACTGACATGTAGCGACTTTAAGTTGTTGCCCAAGGGCCACACAGCTACTAAGTAGGACAGCCGGGATTTGAACTTAGCTGGTCTAACTCTCAATCCACTTTTAACCCAGATGCTAAGACTCTGCTTTCGGGGACTTACGATGTTTCAACTTTATGGGATGTGAAAGTGATATACAGTCAGTAGAAGCCAGACCTCAAATTCTGCAGGAAAAAAAATTTTTTGGCAGAAGTACAAAGGGCTTTATTTGAAGGTCCTCACGATTACATCCGGGAGACACGGGTTCACATAGCTCTGAATCCGTGTCCGGCCTGTGTGGCTGGTGGAAGGCAGGGAATACACAGGAGAGAATCGCCCGCGGCACACCCCGAGCGCATGCCTTGCTGTAAAGGCCCGCACACCCCGG